GGTGAGTTATGGGTATTTGTTCCCATCAGAAACGTTTTACCGTTGGAGGGCAAGACTCACCTTTTACCTTTAACTTTAGTCTCCCGCACTTCCAGAGTGTTCTCCTCTTCCTCCTCACCTTTTACCTGTCTCAAAACAAGCTTCATCAACATGACACCAATAAGGCTTTGCATTACTACACAATTCCTGCCCAGCGCCTACTGGAGAACACACAGTAAGTGCTAAATGAAAGATAATTCTCCTTTATAAAAATTCCTGTAGCTGTTAGCTGTACATTGATTAATATTAGCTGATACTGAGGTTAGCTTTGTGCTCTGTATCCAAGAACACCGAGGCTTCTCCTGAAGCTTCTGCTGGTGTTTTATATTGGCTCTTAAGCTATTAAAGAAGCAACAAACTGTGGGAGTATGGGTCTTGGCTAGTGGCTGACTTTACTTCTCCTGCAGGTCCTTCTATGTAGCTACTTCTACTGCTGTTCTATGACAGTGGCCACCCAGGGATAAGGCAGTTTAGCACAACACTATCTCATTCTGACATCGGCAAGATGCCTCTGTAGAGACAGTCCCAGTCGTCTCACACTAGTGTCATGGACTGATCTAGGATTTTGAAATGTGGGGAGGGAAGGTTGCAGATGCTGTGGTGCCTCATCATCTGTAACAAAACACATTTTTCTCCAGCTAAAAAGAAATTAGAAGCTATACTAATGTGATAGGGGCTTAGGGCTATGTTAATCCATTGAAGATAAAAGCAGAAACAAACCTAACTTTTTACTGGAACATGCTTTCATTTGCTATACCAATATATTATGTAGTGCAGCATAATAAACTAGGCAAAAAATAATCCACAGAGATTATTTCTTCAATCATGTTGTTGTGAGAATTTAAATGTACATCTTTTTCAGGTACATAAAACAAAATCTAGCCTCCTGAAGCATCTTGACAGTGCATCCAGTGCTTCATTGAAAGGTATTTCCACACCTGGGTTAATGTTTCTAGCCAGAGCTTAGTAAGTCTGCAGGACTGTGAAGCAAGACCTACACTGGGAGAAGCAGCCCTCGGGCAGCTGAAAGGCCGACTTGATCAATGGAAGATCTCACCGTTACAAAAGGAGACAGGGTCCCTGACACCTGTGGGATGAGGCATTGAGAAGGAATTGGCCATACCAGAGGCTCTCAACTTTCTTGCCCAGTGGGCCAGATGGGCAATGCCTGTCCACAGGCCAGATAAGGCTGATGGTCCTGGTATTGGGTCTGAGGGCACAGCCAGCCCCCCTCCTGCCATGTGTGTGGTGGGGGGGGAGGGGGGATTGCTGTGACCTGCCTCCAACGCCGGTGGGGAATTTGGCAGCGAGGGGAGAGTGGTAGTATGAGCAGCCAGTGCTCCCCCACCACCAAACTTCCCCCACCCGTGGGGGATGCCACGGCTCTGCAGGTTGCATCTACCCCACGGGCCGGAGGCTGAGCGCCCTGGGGTGGACTATAATAAGACACAGAGGATGGGACTCCTCGGTGCTGCATAGCTACAATTGCTGCACGTGCGACGCCACCTTGGGGCAGGAATCAAAGGAGGGGAGGTGGAAATACGCCCCCGGCGCATGCGCCCTGCGTGGCACCTCCTGGCTCCCCACGCGCATGCGCCCTGCGTGGCATCCCGGAAGGGTCTCGCAGCCCGGCCCCG